GTTGCTCATGAGATGTCACTCAAGGATAAGGAAGAGCTTCACAACAAGTCAAGTGGTGCTTACAAAGCCTCTTGTGATGCTCCCACATCATCAAGTGAGAAGCAAACCTTCAATGAAGAATTGAGTCTAATGGTGAAGAACTTCAACAAGTTCTACAAGAGTAGAAGCAAGGAAAGAAGTTCCAAGTCAAGGTCCTACAATGACAAAAGATCTTCTAGTCGTGAGTGCAATTGCTACAATTGTGGAAGACCCGGACACTATTCCAATGAGTGTATGGCTCCCTACAAAAGAAGATAACATTATCCCTACAAAAGAAGAAGTAGAAGAGAAGAATCACCATCAAGAGAGAGAAGGAGTAGAGATTATCGTTATGAACGAAGACCCTCTCCGAGAAGCAAGGACTCAGAAAGGAAGGACAAGTCATCAAGGAGCTACACAAAAAGAAGACATCAAGCTCATGTTGGTGAATGGGTATCCGGTTCCGACTCCAACAATCACTCCGAAAGAAGTTATCACTCCGACTCTGAATATACTCAAGATGAAGGTGTTGCCGGACTAGCACTTGTGACAACCAACTCCTATGACATATTTTATTCACCAAATGAAGGAATTGGAAGATGCCTCATGGCTAAAGGTCCAAAGGTGACACACCCCGAGTATGTTGATTTCAATAGTGATGTAGATGATTTGCTAGGAGATGATGATTTACTTGTTGACAACTCTAGTTATGAAAACTATGATGAGCTTGCTATTAATCATGATAATCAAGATAAAACGAATGACGATGATAAGAAGGAGATTGGGCGCCTAACTAAAGAACTAAACACTCTTAAGTTAGCTCATGAAACTACCTTGGAAGATCATCGAGAACTTTTAAAGACTCGTGATAAGCTACGCTTTGAAAAGCTCAACCTTGAGCAAGAACATGAGTTTTTAAAGGCAATCAATGATGATCTTCGCAAGAAAAGTTCTTCTCATTGCCAAGCGTTTACTCTTGTCTACTTACATGCCACAAGTTAAATCTAGCAACAAGAACAAGAAAGATTCTTCATCTGGTAATAACAACAATCATGCTAAACCCAATGTTGTTGCTTCTAGTAGCTCTCTTGATTCCACTAATGATTCTCTTAGCCAAGTTACACTTGAGAAAGAAGATAGCTTATTGAAGGGAATTATAGAGAAGGGTGTTTACAAGAGCCTTGCCAGAAGTAAGCAATTTGAGGAAAATGTATGCAAGCAAGGAAGACACCAGAAGAATCAAGGTGTTGGTTTTGAACGAAAGTTCAATGCCAATGGAGTTGAGTGGGAAGAAGATCAATACCCCAAGACGAAGTTTGTTCCTCAACAAGAGAAGTATGATCCTACTTCTTTCAATGGAACACAATCTCAAGATGATCTTCCACCACAAGACCATAAGCTAAAAGGCAAGCACAAGCTTCAAGAGGAGATTGATGCATTCGAGGAAGCACCTAAGGCCTTGGTCAAGTGGGTTCCCAAGACTACATTACGTAAACGAGTAAAGAGACTTGCCGGTAACAAGATTGAACTAGGTATTGAGATACCGACGATCGAATCTCGGGCAAGTAACATACCGATGACAAAAGGAACACCGTATGTTGTTATGCGGTTTGACCGATAAAGATCTTCGTAGAATATGTAGGAGCCAATATGAACATCCAGGTGCCGCTATTGGTTATTGACCGGAGACGTGTCTCGGTCATGTCTACATAGTTCTCGAACCCGTAGGGTCCGCACGCTTAACGTTCGGTGACGATCGGTATTATGAGTTTATGTGATTTGATGTACTGAAGGTAGGTCGGAGTCCCGAATGAGATCGGGAACATGACGAGGAGTCTCGAAATGGTCGAGACGTAAAGATCGATATATTGGACGACTATATTCGGACATCGGAAAGGTTCCGAGTGATTCGGGTATTTTTCGAAGTACCGGGGAGTTACGGGAATACGGGGAAGAAGTATTGGGCCTCATGGGCCAAGTGGTGAAAGAGAGGAGGCCGGGCATGCGCCCCCCTAGCCCAAACCGAATTGGACTAGGGGGGTGCCCCCCTTTCCTACTTTCCTCCCTCTCCTTCCTTCTCCCCTTCCCCCTTCCTTTCCTCCTCCTAGTAGGAGTAGGAAATGGGAGTCCTACTCCTACTCGGAGGAGGATGACTCCTCCTGGCACGCCCTAGGAGGGCCGGCCGGCCTCCCCCCTTGCTCCTTTATATACGGGGGCAGGGGGCACCCTATAACACAACAATTGATCTGTTGATCTCTTAGCCGTGTGCGGTGCCCCCCTCCACCATAATCCACCTCGGTTATATCGTAGCGGTGCTTAGGCGAAGCCCTGCGTCGGTAGCTTCATCAACATCGTCACCACGCCATCGTGTTGATGAAACTCTTCCCCGAGCTCTACTGGATCGTGAGTTCACGGGACGTCACCAAGCTGAACGTGTGCTGAACGCGTTGGTGCCGTACGTTCGGTGTTGAGGATCAGTCGATCGTGAAGACGTACGACTACATCAACCGCGTTGTTATAACGTTTCCGCTTAATGGTCTACGAGGGTATGTGGACGACACTCTCCCCTCTCGTTGCTATGCATCACCATGATCTTGCGTGTGCGTAGGATTTTTTTTGAAATTACTACGTTCCCCAACAGCTATTGCCAAGTGTTGTCCTTCTGTCTTGGATTTCTTTAGCTACACTTCTATGATTGTCAATAGTGTTAATGATTCTTGCAAGCGACATGATCAATTAGCCCAAGCACACCATGATAATCTTGTGCAGAAATTGGAGAGTGGAGAAATTTTTATAGGGAGAGGGAAGAACCAACAAACTAACCTTACAAGACCCGGTGATACTAGGTGGGGCTCACATCATAAAACCTTGTGTCGCCTTCATCAGATGTGGTATGCAGTGCTAGAGGTATTGAAAAATATGTCTGATGATGCCACTAACACGTCACAAAAAATCACATCACGAGGTTTGAGACGTCATATGGAGAGATTTGAGTTTGTGTTTATACTGCATCTAATGATCAAATTGTTGGGAAAAACTAATGATCTATCACAGTGCTTGCAAAAAAAGAACCAGAACGGTGTTCGTGCTATGGGCTTGATTCAGACCACATCATTTAAACTTAATGAGATGAGGCATCAGGATTGGGATGAGTTATTTGAAGAGGTAAAGGCCTTTTGTCTCCAACATAACATCATTATCCCAAACATGATGGAAACATTAGCTATTGGGGGCCGTTCCAGAGGTCGCGGCGGCCAATTGGTAACTCACTTGCATTATTACAATCATGAAATATTTAATGTGGTGCTTGACCAGATTATTGTTGAGTTTAACAATCGCTTTGCTGAGAAATCTACTCAACTATTGAGATGCATTGCTTGTCTTGACCCAAGAAATTCTTTTGTCAACTTTGATATAAATAAGTTGGTTGAACTTGCTCAGATGTATGGTGCTGATTTCTCAGAATATGAGTGCAGAGTTCTTAGGGGCCAACTTGAGACATTTGTCACTGAAGCTAGAGCTGATACTGAATTTTTAAGATGCATTGATCTTGGCCAGCTTGCTATGAAGATGGTTCAAACAGATAGACACACACATTTTCAATTAGTATATCGTCTCATTGAATTGGCCTTGATCCTGCCTGTCGCTACATCAACCGTAGAAAGAGCTTTCTCAGCTATGAGCATTGTCAAAACTGAGTTGCGGAACAAGATGAATGATGAATGGATGAATCATCGTATGGTGTGCTGTATTGAGTGTGATGTATTTGCAAGCTTTGATGATATTAAGATTATACAATGCTATCAAGAAATGAGAAAACGCAAGGGGCTACTACCTCGTGCACTTCGTGACAATGGTATTTTTTTCTCAAAATATCATACGAACAATTGATTTTAGTATATGTCCACTGTCCTAATTTTAAATACTCAATTTTATATTTACAGCTCCAGGTCCTTCTACTATTGCTGGTGAAGAAACAATGGCCTAGAATTAAGCAAGTCTTCATTACTTTGGTACCACATAATGTTTGCAAAAATGCACTTTGTTAAATTATTTGTTTTATCGAATTTTCTCTTGTGGTAATAATGAATTTATATTTCATCTTTAATGTGAATTTGTGGCATACTTCTAGAACACGTTGGTGTGCATGCCATTTGACGTTATTTTTAGTCAGTTAGTTTTAGCCCTAGGCTTTGAGAAATCCTGGCTCCGCCTCTGGGTCAGGGTACGGACTTCAGGGTTTTAAAGGTTAGGGTTCCTTTTGCATCGGCCTCTACAACCTTAGCTTTGTTTTAGACTTCACTCGCGACTAGATGGCATGGAGAAATGCGAGTGCGTCCAAGCTCCAGAGGCGACACGACAGGGGCGTCCATGCAAACAGAGAGACAGACTGATCTTGGGGCAACTGGGCCGCGTGCACGTCAATAATGTGCCACCGTACCATGTTGTAGGCCGACCAGTTACGGCCAGGCCCAGCTACCGAGTCCAAGAGCCCAAGAGTGGCACTGCTACTATCATTGGAAGGAATTGAACCGATTCAAAAATACCGTATATTGAAGGCCATAAATGCTCCCCGATCATATCTCATCATCCCACGATCTTATCCCGATCCACCCAGATTTCCTTCCTACCATTCCCGGCCCGATTCGAGCGTTGCGAAATTCAAACCTCCAACGAAAACCGAGAGGAAGCGGCAGACGGGCCGACA